CACATTGCCTATGTTTCTTGATTAGCGAACTCGGGAATTTAAAAGGGAAAATATAATCTACACATGACTTGGATGCTTGAATGGTGTACAAGAACTTTCCCAACATTTCATGTTAAAAGGGACAAAAAAAAGGTCAGTAAAGATTGTCTTTATTATTATTTTATTTTGAATTTTTTTATAATTTAGATTAATGTGAAATTCTGGGTGTTTATTACTCTCAATCAGACGCACTTAAAACAAATATAAAAAATAATTTGATTAAAATACTCCTGAATATTTTAAAGGTATTATGATCCCATTTGTCTTTTAAGAATTATTATTCTTTTATATAGTTCTTTAGCCTAAGCGTGGCACAAATAACTTAAAACTTTCGTGTCACCCCATTTTATAAAAATTGAAATTAAAATGCTATCTTAAATCATGGCCATACATTATTTTCTTCTTACCTTATCCTTTGAAAGGTGCTTGTGCAGCCTTCTAACGCCCATTCTTAATAAGATAGTTCCAAAATTTTTAAAAATAAACCGCCAGCAATTCATCTTGATTAGTTTTTCAAAAGCTAAAAGGCAAAAAGAATTGTCTTGATTTACTTGACATTCTTACCTTTCTCCCTTTTTGTGTGTTAGCTTAAATTATTTAAGTGAAAATAAAACTCTTGACGTCGTGTTGTGACTCCCTGTTGACCATTATGCCAAGAGCTCCATTCCCAACTTGGTATAGTGTACACGAACGTTTGGTCACAAGCATTGGTTCACCTCTCACCATCTCTTAAGGGTGGCAACGGGCTTGGCCGAGCCCTTGTCCCCATAGGCCCGGCCTTGCTAAGGCCCTGTCGAGCCAAAAACAAATAAAGAAAAAGAAGGCCAGGCCGAGACGAATTGGGCTAGCACCAGCCTTGCCCCAGCCCTAAGGCCATAGTTCGTGGTCCAGGCCCTACTTTTTTAGGGCTGGCCCCACACGTATCAAAATCTTTCAAGGACATATGATGGGTGCGTGAAGTGTTTCATTATTATACGTATGAAGAAACGCGTCACTGCATGAGTCCCTTCCTTTGTCCTTTCACATAGATGATAAATCCTAGGGGTTTTTCATATGTATCATGTGATCAAGTGGAAACTCAAACATGTTTAGCATTCCCTACATAGCCTTTCCATCCAATTAGAAGGAAACTCTCCTTACTTTTCGTGTGTATTATGCCTTCAAGACTTTCTTTCATCTAATTAGAAGGAAATTCTCATTACTTAACATGTGCATTATGCCTTCAAGACTTTCTTCCTTCCTTAGGATTGGCGCTTTGCCTTCAATTTCATGGAGAGGAAAAAAGAGATAAGATGTAGAAAAAGTCATTTCCACCTAACATATTCGCGACTAATCGACCCCAAATAGTATGCTTTAACGATGTGATTAAAGCCGTTTTATCATAAAACTGCAAAGAAAGTTACTCCACAAGTTTATTAGGAAAACTTATATTGAAGAAAGGGAAATGATCTTCTGAGCTAGGTTCTCATTAATCTCCTTTTTTGAAATGAGAACAATTTTGTTCTACTTGTTTTGAACTTGTAGACATCGAATAATTTGACCGTTCAAAAAGAAAAAAAAAGAAAAGACAACCAAATGGAAAGTAGGCTCTAATACTGAGAACTTCAATCACTTCTAGGTCATGTTTCATTGCGAGGATTATGTTTGATTGTGAGAATTTGAAAATCGTCTCGAAACAAGGAAAAGTTTGCAACTTTTGTATGGAAACATGCCTGGATTTTTTGCTAATTTTAGTTTACAAACTGGACGGTTCAGATCAAAGTGTTTTTGACGTCTTATGATATTATAACTTGCTTTCATCCTTACATATAAGAATCTCAACTACATCCCGAATAATACTCTCAAATAAATCTTCAATGTGCTAAAAGAGCTGATCTAAAATATATGATACATTGATTGTTTATTGTAAAGTAAATTACTTATTACTTATAAAGTAAGAAATCTAATTCTAATTAGACCATCCCAAATGATTTATTAAATAAAATGTTGGTGAAGAATATTGTTTGCCCATATTTTGTACCGCAAAATCCCAGAGAAGTCCAGCTAGGTATGACCTAAAGAAAACCGGATTTCGATGTGTCTTGATTCATTTTATTTTAAACGTATTTGTCCTTTTTTATGGATTTTTTGTATTTTTTTTAACACTTTTTGGCCTGGTCCGAACTCTGTCCAACTCAAGCCTATACATGGACTCGGACCGAGCACTCGGCTTGGGTCTAGGCTGAGAACTCGACCCGAGATCATTCAAACGCTGCTTGTCACAATTCACAAAGCGTTGCTGCAAATTTTCATGGTCAGTGTCCATGTGCCCTTCAACCCATTAGCACAGAAATGTTAGTGTTGATGTGCACCCCTGATATGATAATCCATGACAACTTGTTTGATGGAGCCATTTTACATTGTGATAAGAGTGTGAATTTCATCTTGATGACATTGGTTATTTGGGTTTTGGCTAGCATTCTTTGAGCCGGTTATGAAGTCTGTAATCTGTTCTGAATTTATACCCCTTTTCGTCTGTAATCAATTAATGAGTAGAAAATTTCTTGCTATTGAATGAAAATGCAGATCACAACGCGAAGAACGAGCATCGCTTGGGAGCTTTAATTCTCAAAAAAATTCATGAAATTCATCAATCACCAAAATCCAAAATAGTAGCGCTCGAAACAACTTAAAAGAGAAGATCAATAAAATATTGAAAAAAGGTGCTGAAGGATAAGAATCGTGGCTTTGCCCTAGCGATGATAAAAAAAATTGTGCACCACAAAAGGGGCAAAAAACTTTTTTCCTTCAGCTTTATACTAAACTCATTTACAGATGTTCTTAAACAAAAAAAAAAAAACAAAGAACAAATGATCACAAGATACAGCACACATATTCCCTCTAGCAAAAACACAGTTGGGATTAAGTTTTGGACCCAAAATTTTGGTGATAATCTCCACTTTTTATAGTGAAACAACCTAAAAAAACACAAAAAAAAAAAAGGGTCTAATTTGCCTCCTGAAAAGAATCCCAACCAAGGAATTAACCTAGACCATCCAGTTTTCGGGCAGTGTTTAGAAACTCAATCACTTACGCATTCCAGTTTTACCCCTTAAGACAATGAATCTAAAGAACGCATATCAAAATGATGGGATGGAAAGAAAACATTAGTCTAGAATCCAATGGACTATGGAGGATTAGCTTTGAGACACCTTATTTGCAGTGTGAGAGGCCCTTGAATTGGAACTTCTCTTGCAAACCAAGCTGAACTTCCCAAAAAGAAAACCATAGTCCAGTAGGTCATCACCATCATCTGGTGATCTGAAAGCTTGGCCCCCACACTCCCATCACGAAACATCATTAAAATGGACTTTCACAATCCAATGGTCTATGCCTTTTCCATAATCCATCAAATTATAGTAATAGTTTCCCCTCATTCTCCATCCACTCGTATTTTTCAATGTGATTCTTTAACCTAAGACCTGCCATTGCAATTATTCCAAGTAATTGAAAGGGAAATTTAAGCCATGCATCATCAGGAAAGCTTCCATCTCTTTTGGTGATGGATGGTGGAGATTGAATAGAATTGAAGCGTGACTGTACTGATGTAAAGTCTGTCCGTACTGGTCGATTAAATTTCTTTTTTTGAAAAATTGGGTCTACGAAATCTCTTTTATTCATCGAAAGATGAATTCCATAATCAGATCACGAAGGAGTATAAGAACAGTCGCCAGTCTCCACCACCCAGGGAAGGATAGGATAAGTTTGGATTGCATCGCAAGGAATTTGGGAAAAACTGGTTTCTTTTCCTCTGGCAATTATCAACTAGCTACTGGTTGGTAGCATTTTCTACACAAGTAGGCCTCTAAAGGCAACAACACAAACAAGTTGTGACGGTAATCCCGTACAACGTGGAAGAACAAAATACTAAACTTCCTAATCGGCGCTATGTCCAAACAGTTCTATAGTATGCACCCATTCTAAAGCGAAGTTCTCTTTTTTTTGTGTTTTTGTGCAGTAAGTTTAGTTGAACTTCCATATATTTATAT